CTTCAAAACTGATGATATACTTTTACTTTACTATTGTGGTGTTTAGTCTTAATTACCATAAAAATGCTAAAGACAAAAGTCACTCATCAAGAGGAGATTTGGGCACACTTACATTTCTCTTATAGTTTAGTTGTCAGAATTTTTTTGTCAGTGGGTATTTCTAAATGTGGAACTGTATAGCTGATATAAATAGCTGCATGTTAGATTTCCAGTTAAATATGTGTTGTTCTAAAATAGTACCAGTTTTGTTAAAACTAAGTTAAGCAGCATAATAGAAAACCAAAGTGACTACTTCAAAACATGGTATGTGCTTGCAACTTTAAAACAGGCTTGCTTTGCTTAGAGTGATGCTCTCCTTCAACAGCTCTAACTAAAAATTATATAATTTCACTACACTGTTTTTAAACAAGCTCAGCAGTACACATGATTAGAGGTACTAATTAATGCAGAGACAGCTAGAATGCTGTCCACGTTTCAGGTTATATTTTGTCTTTTCCCTGTATTCGATCAATATTACCCTACAGGATAACACCTCTAAGAATAACAAGATCATAAGTCAGATGGACACTGAACTGCAGAACAAGATGCAAGTAAAAAAGAAATGGGAGATGAAGTTACAAATAAAAATTAAGCTATTGACCTCAGAGAGCTGCAAAACAGAACAATAACCATGAAAAGCAGCATCTCTGAGAGGGTTTTAGTTAACACAAATTCAATTTACCGCAACCTCATGGTACTGCCTAATCAACAAGGGTTTATTCACTATGGGATTGGTGAGGCACTGAACAAGTTGCCCAGAGAAGCTGTAGCTGCCCCATCCCTTGGCAGTGTTCAAGGCCTTGGAGCAACCTGCTCTAGTGGAAGGTGCCCCTGCCCGTGGCAAGGGGTTTGGAAATGGATGAGTTTTAAGGTCCCTTCCAACACAAACCCTTTATGAAACTGTGACATTATCTCAACTGTTTTAACATACAGTAGCAATATGCAAGATGATCAAAATAAAAAAAAAAAAAAAAAAAAATAATAAAAAAGGCAAGGACTGGAGTTTTGTCCATATTCATTATGGCTTCTAGAAGCCCAAATCTTACTGAGCTTACATCTCAGAATTTGCTATTTGTAGCACTATTTAAAACTGGAGAGGAAAGAGAAAATTACTTATGACAAAGAGCTCATCAATCTGTTTAGCAATCAAAAGAAAGATCAAGGAAGATCAAAAGGTGACTTGCTTATAGCACAAGTGTCTCAAAGGGAACAAGAGGGGAACAAAAAAAAACCCTGGGTAGGAAAGGGCTCTATAATATAGTGAAGAAAGCCACAACAAACATAATTGTCTAAAAGACGCAGACAAATTCATATGGGAAGGCATAAATTTTTAATAATGAGGTTGGCATATCACTCAAACTACCACTGAAGAAAAGAGTGGTTTTTTAGCTTCTTAAAACCAGTGACATTTCTCCTTTTCCTCTGTGTCTTCATCAGCAGGCTTGATATAGCACTTTTTTTGGCATGTGAGAGTACAAGTATATGCCTCATGGGGCAGTAACAATCTGTTAATATTTTCATGTTTTTTTCAAAGTAGAACATTTCTGCCAAAATTTTTTGTTTTGTTTTGTTTTTGTTAGAGTTTTTCTGTAATCAAGCTTGGGTGTGATGACTTTATGCACAACAATAATCTTAAGAGTTCAATGTCTGCAGATAAATAATTTATTCAGTTCAAAAATCAGAACCAGAGGGCATGCATTTTCCCCAAGATAAAGTGAAATTTAAAACTATTTAGTTCAAGTAATTGTGGATGGTAAGAAAGCCGTCTGAGAAAGTCTGAGAGAAATCTAAAGAAAACCTTGAACACAGGCTTCAAGGCATAAATTCTTATGAGTTTCTTATGCAAATCATATGACTGCTTAAAAGATGCAAACAGCATCATTACTTTTGCCAAATTATGACAGAATTATTACTTACACTGTTATAAAAAGAACTGCTTTTGTGTTTACGATGAGCATTTTGACTTACAGTATTGTAGCCATAGGCCCATCCTCTTGTTATAAACATTTCTGAAACAAAATACATTACTGAGCAGAGGCAGAATGAAACACTCAGCAAGCATGCATTTTTGAGGCCAGAGAACTCAAGCCCAGGATGATTTTTGATAATTACGAATGAGTAGTGAAAGAACAGTGTTTGGATGGAAAACTTTTTTTTCGTATTTTCATCCCCATTCCTGCCTCATGTCTGTTTCCTGATTGTTTCTGCATCTTGGCAATTTGAAGGGATTTTTTTCCAAACATGTGAACCAGTCCTTCCCTGATTAGCTGAGCTAAAGAAAAAGTGAAAAAATACCTGACTTATGATTCTGAACAAATTGCCTGTTTATTATTTGGTTCTCAACATTCACTTTAACCTAGCTTCTACTTTTACTAGCAGATTGCTACTCCTGCTGCTACTGGTTCAGTTGGGAAATCATGTCACTAATGTTTTCAGAATCTTACAGTATTCAGCAAACTGCTAGGAGGATAGACAGCTAAGTCAAGTAACCATTTACCTACATTTTTGGTTACTTGCTGGTCCATGGCAGTACCCAAAGCAGAAATAACTAGAAATCATAACACTAATGAAAAACTACTACCTATGAATAGATATTCTAGTGTGACAAACTATCAACCTAAAGTATCTAAAAAAAATGTTCTAATAAAATAAACTTCTCCTGAGTGTACAATGCCCAACTAGTCCACTGAAGAACCATGGGTCATTTATATTACAGATGTAGTAAAGAAACCTTCTATCCAGATAAAGTACAGCTAGATCATGGTAATAAAGCTTGTAATGCCCTGTCAGCCCTTTTATTAGATTGTACAGCATAGAGGGGGCAAGTAGAAAAATGAAGCTGCAAATCCCTAATTCCAGTAATGGAGGAGGCATGAACTATCATACTCATAAGCAAATCTAATTTCTTTATCTGAACAGTCACCAGAAAAATCTCTACTACTGTAGAAACTTCATACTTCACTGAATCTCAATGACTGTATCAGCTATTGGGCTTTGGTTGGTTGGTTAGTTGGTTTCTTTTTCTCCAGAGTTGTAAAAGGTTTCTGCAAATCATTAATTTTTTAAAAAATAAAATTCGTGGTATTTCAAGTTTCTGGAAACATTTTAAAGCATTACTGAACCTAATTTTACAACTAAATGCATTACCTTAAGTATTATTCAGTTACATGAAAACAATCTACTTGCATCTGAGTTCAAGTATCACATTATCAGTTTAGAAAAACATGTTTTTCATTTAAGATTCTTCTTGCATTTGAAATAGGTTATATTACATTACCTATCTAGATAATACAGCCCACATAAAATAATTAAAAATGTTTCATCCAGAAGTCTAGCTCTTCTTCCATCTAATGAGAAGAATTAATGTTTCAACCTTTCTACTACTTCTGTAACTGTTGCAAAACCAAAGCTTCATAATACAATGCCATCCTCCCCCTCCCCACCCAAAAGCAAGTCCTTACTACTGGCAATCCAGACCAGCTTGTTACTCAGCATCAAAACCTACCCCTGCATCAGCCATTACACCTAAAATATAGCTTCCTAAAGGGTAGTTTCATGCACTCTTCTATTAGTTAACAAAAAAAAAAAAATTTTTAAATAGAATGATGTAAAAAATGTTGAAGATTTTTTTTTCAGATCACTGTAGAACATCAGTTGCAGCAAGTAATCCTGCATTCAAGATTGGCTAGTATGAGCTATAGCTGCTAGGCAGCTCTACTGAAATCATCTGGCCTATAAACAGGTAGGAAGAGATTATTGACAGGCGGTATGGCCTTAAGGGTCCCCCTCTATTCCATCACCCAGCGTTAATACACTCTATGTTACTGCTGTGAAAGGGGCTTCAACTCTATTCCAGCCTCCCATCAACATGCATGTAGACTATGGTATTGAGAGACTCAGGGTAACTGACTTCAACCTTGATTTTTCCTGTGATAAGAACAACTCTACAGCCTTTAGAAACATACAGTACTTCTGAGGATTCAGATAACATTTGAACTGTTTCCTATGAAAATACATTCTGCAACAGCAAGCAAAATATACCATGCCAAGCTTGTAAAGTAAACAGCTCTACTGTGAGGCATCATTTCTTGCAGGGAGTAACGTTTACACATATCCTACTGCCCCTTGTACTCCTCAAAAATAAGCTTGTGTATTTCTAGAAACTGTTAGGAATCCTCAGTAGTAGACTGATCAAGTCTACATATTTATCTCAAAGAATTCTGAAAATGATCAGAGGTGGTTCTTGAAGATTTTTACCTTTTATCTTGCACCTGAGCAAAATAACATTTCCTTTAATAAAGGAAATACTGTGTTAAATCACAGTACTCTACCTAAAATATACTTTTCACTGTGATCTATTATCAAGCTTGATTTTAGCTCCATTTTCAAAAGTATAATTTTATTTTCGAGTGGTGCATGCAAAATGTGAAACTCTGTGTACACATTCATGTATATATAAACATATACGTATGTAATATGAAATGCCTTGGTCTTGGTTTTGATCATAGCAGAGACCATTAAAACATTTGTTTATCAAATGGACAATATATTTCATAGTAGAAATAATTTATTTCACTGACTTTAAACAGCAAACAGTCTTTTACCTGTGAATGAGATTCCTGGTGGGAGAGAACACTACGGCAGCCAAGTGAACATAATCACTTTTTATTATATTTTTTTTTCCTAACAGATCACAAATTTCCAGATGATAAGCTCCACACGGTTCAAGAGTACTGTGTAGTACTGTGCGGTACTGTGTAAGTACTGCACAGTAAGATTCTTCCATTAGAGCCAAAACTGCTTTAAATTTAAGAGAATCAGAGCAGAACAAAAAATATGTAGTTCTCAACTCAATACATAAACCTGAAAGAGTATAACTGTGATGGAAATCTGTGTTTATGCCAGCATAATCAGATATGACCTGTGGAACCATTTTTTAATTAAAACAGCAGTTACAGTACCTTGCATAAGGACTTGGACACAAGCTTGTTGCATCAGCTTTCTTTTTCATATCAATTAGGTGGTAATGTAAAGCAGTTTTACTGCTTTCAGTTAATTTTTCGAGCTGACTGAATAAAGCAAAAGAACTTTTGCTGTTCAGAAAAAGAACACTGATGTTGGAATATAAGGCCAGGGAATAAGATTCACATTTGTGAAATATTTTCAGAAGAGCATACAAGATATGAATCTCATTTTAACACATGGACAATATAGAAAAATATGTATGGCCAGATATTGTTAGATGTCTTTCAAAGTACTTTTAGGATTTCTCAGATTGCACAATGCATTAGTAAAATACGTGTAAGCTCAGTACTTACCCACAGAGGCATAATCATTTGGAAGCTCAGGATAAAGTTTGTTTGTATTCTTTTTAGCTGAAAGAGAAAAAGTAACGAGTTATATAATATACTAACATATCTTATTATACTTCATATACTGCTTTTGTAATACATGTTCAATAGTTATAAAATGATTGCAGTTATCTAAGGAGCAGTACAGAAGAAAGAAATAAGGACTTTGCCTTATATCCTTGTCTGGACAAATAAATCAAGTTGACAACAGGAGCTGCACATTAAAGCCTCACTTTCAATGACAGCACTTTGGCAGACAAACTCTTACAGAGCCCAAACTGCTTCCTCTGCTCTACTGTGAGACATCAACCTACTAAAAGATAATGACAACCTAAAAGAGAAACCAAGTTTTCTAGAAATCAAAATTTCTAGGAGTAGGACTAGCAGTTTCTACTAGGACTGTTCTTTTTACTAAGAAGCTTCATTGTACCATGAGGTAATAAACATGAATGGTCCCCTTTGAACACTTACGTACTTAAGTAACTATATAAACACTATATATAGCAAATCAAACAAAATATTTACCCTTTAGTGCTCATGGCACTATCCCAAAATGCTTTCACTGTTTGCCCAAGTTTCTATAGAGACAGCTACTACTATAATAACTGCATAACATTCATTAGCTTCAGTGTCTAACTTTATATAGAAAACTAATGATTATCAAAATGTTTTTAACCTGGTGGTGTTGGTCTAACAGTGGGTTTAGGTGGTTCAGGTCTCAGTGATGGTTGAGCAGGTGGGTCATTTACCTAAAATGTACAAATTTTAATAAAAAAGTTGTATCACACCTGGAAGTAGATTGTAACTTCAGATCCTAGAGGTATGACAAGTTACACTGGAAAAACCCCCATAAAAATCACTCTTTCTCCACTGAAACTGTATGAGCTGTATGAAACTGCACACTAATGAACTAGTGACACAGGTGACCATAATGTAATTCACCATGGTTTATTTTGGTTTACTTCCAAAGATGGAAGTAAATTACTGTCTATCAGTAACATTAACATCTACAAGAAAACATCTACAATCTTAGTATGACTTCGTAAATGTAATTGTTTAAATGCAAGACAAGAAAAATAGAAAAACAAAGAGTATCCACAGCAAACCTGGTATTAACTTTATTATTATTAAACCCGCATGTTATTTGTGGATTAACTTGATTAGGAATAGTTGAACAAATTTTTCTAACCATTACGTAAGATTTGATTACACACTATTATAAAAACAAGGATGTACTTTGTTATCCTGGAGGATACAAAGCAAAACCAGCAACATTCTTGGGCAAAAGAGCCTACCAGGGCAATACTTGAATGAATGTATTACTCGCATGCAGTATCTGCAATGTGTTACGCCTTTAGGCATCCAACAGTGAAGAATGGCACACGAACATCAACATTACCACCGACTAGGAACAGTTCAGGAACAGGGAAAGCCTATGTAAAAGAGAGGTGCACAAACCCTTCTTTGTTCCCTTACAGCTTTTCCTGGATTATTTTTTTGCTCTTCATTTTCATATACTTCAGTGAAGGATGCTAGAATTTCATAAAGATCTTCTGCTTGTGCAGGAAAAGGCACATCACCAAGCAAGATGGCACTAGCACGAATATCCTGCCCATAAAACCTGATACAGAAGAAAAGATGCCAAGTATTTGATCACCATTACATTTCAATGTCTAGATAAATTCGTCTTATGCAAATGTTCCCCCACTCCCTGTCCCTGAATTTCTCCTACTGATCATATATCAACCCTGTAAATTTGGAATAATAAGTAATTGCAGCAAACCTGAATGCTTACCTACCATCTTACTTCAAAATATTCTTTGTGAGTAATATTTTGTTCCTGGTCACACAGTACAGATCAGCCAGACCTTTTGAAAGCCAAGCACACAGTAAACTGAACAAACATCACACCACTTTTCCAAATCATTGTAATAGTTTTCACTGAAAAAAATTCCTTAATGGAATTTTATGAAGATAGCTAAAAGTTACCGACATGCTGTGATTAAAATCAGTGTTAACTCTTCTCTGATATTAGCAGAATCAAAGTTTTCATAAACACAGAACATACAAGTGCAAGACACTCAGAGGTTCTGTGGATTTTAAACTTAACAGGATGCAAAAGGAAGCACCATTTCATAAACTGAGCATTTTTCCAAATTCACTGATGCTGTAAAACAGGTTTTTTTTGTTTTTTACAAGTGGCCTAAAAGAATATTATTGTGCAGTAAACACCTCAATACCTATCTTCTATATGGTGCTGGGTTTTGATGGCAAGGTTTTGGTAAGGGGCACGGCTGCACGGGTGGCTACTGTGAGAAGCTGCTAGAAGCATAAATATATTATCTCTGAACATTCAGCATCATCTTGACACCCATTGCAAGATGTCTAAATTGAAGAAACCGTTGTCCCTCAGGAAACTCTAGACTCAGCATAGCATGTTCTCACAACAAAGTTTTTTCCAGATTGAATGTGTCCTAGTTAATTTTGTCACCATGCATTCACTGGATCTTCTAAATTTGAAGAGAACTTACTTGCGATTTGTTTCTTTCCTTTCAATTAAACAGGTTCCTTCCAGGGATACACCTGCAAACAGACCTCGAGATTTGCAGTATGTATAGACAGCTGCGGAACTTCTGAGGGCAACGTCCCCTTCTAAGTTTCTAGGAGGAAAAAAGTTTTGACTAACATTCTTCAATATGGCTTTGCAACAAGAGCAGCAATTGTCTTTTTATTTTAATCCTACAAAAAGTCAGCAAAAGTTTTACTTCCCTCTCTTCTTACAAACTCTATTGAACATATTCAAGTGGGTCAGACTTGAAATCCATTTTCAGTTCTTATTTTAGATGGGACCCAGTACAACGTAATTAAGTTGGTTCCTCTGAAGCACAGAACTATATTGTCTCATGTGAATGCCCCACATTAGACCTCCTCTTTCGTTCAGAAGTCTGAAATATTAACCCATTTTTTTAATCATGTTTTAAAATTATCTGATTATGTTTGTGGTGACTTGGAACCCTATTCAGTATGTCTAAATCCTCCTTGATTTTATGGTGCCCAAAACAGGATAAAATATTCCAAGTAAGACCTTTTCAGACCTCAAGAGAATTGGAAGATTACAATTTTTGTCCTACACAGGACCACATAATATTCTAGGTTTGAAGATACTTCAGGTAGTAAGCCAGTCCAACCTCCTGCCCAAAACAGATACATCAAATTGAGAACAGGATGCTCTGGGATTTGTGTAGCCAGTTGTAAAGACTTTCAAGGATACAGATTCCACAGACACTCTGAGCAACCTGTGCCAGTGCTCAGTTATACTCATGTTGAAATTATTTTTTTCTCATATCCAGTCAGAACATTCCTTGTGTCAATTTATGACTACCATCTCTCACTGCCTTGACATGCACCTCAGTAAAGAATTGGTCTCTGTCTTCTTGGTGATTCCCTTTTCGGGAAGACCTCCAGGTTAAATAAGCTGAGCTTCCCCATCTTCATTATACATGTACTCCATGTCCCTGCCCATCTCGGTAGCCACTCATTGCACACAATCAAGTTTATAAACATCCTGCACTGCAGGGCTGAAACTGGACAAAATATTCTAGGCTGTCTATGAAATGACAAGTAAACGGGAACAGTTGCTTCCCTTATCCACTGGTTAGAGCTCTATTGATGTACAGGATGCTGTTTTCTTTTCAGGATGCTTTCATGTTCAGCTTACTGCCTACCAGGATGCTGGCACCTTCCCAATAGTGCAGCTACCCAGCCTGGTAGGGGGTTCCTCTAACCAAGGGTGCAGAACTTTGCATTTGTCCTTGTTTAACTTCATGAAATTTCCTGTTGGATCTTTCCCCTATACTTTCCAGGTCCACCACTCAAAATGGTGGCCCTACCCTGAAGTGCACCCCCTGATTTAGTGTCATCCACAAACTTGAAGAGATTTTGCACCTGCTCCTCCAGGTAACTAATAAAATATAAAGCAGGAGCAGTCCCATAAGAGCCTTCTGAGGAATTCCACAGAAACTTGGCTTCTGATTACAACACCAATCATTTACCACTGTTCTTAAGCCTGTTTATCTGGTTTTCCACCTGTTTGCTAGTCTGCCCCACCCTGACACCTAGGCCACAATGGCCCAGCCTGGACAAAGAGATGTTGCAGAACAGCATACTGAATGCCTTTGAAAGGCAGATGACATTCACTGCTCACCCCTGATCTACAGATCTGTCTCATCTGTGGAACAGGAATCATCTTATCCTCTTATTTTGTCAAGAGAAGATGAGAAAAAGGTCAGTAAAATATTTCTCATTAAAAAAAGGCATAAGCAGGCACATGTCCCATGAGAATAGTCTGAGGCAAGCAGACTAGGTAAGCCTGGAGAAGAGACGACTGAGGGAGAACTTAACAGCAGTCTTCAAGTATCTGTGAAGAGGCAATCCAGAATATGAAGCCACCAGCAGTATATGGGGGAAGGATAAAAAGGTATGGACATAAATTGAAGCAACAAATGTTTTGACTGGATGTAAGGAAAAAATTTGCACCATGAGGACAGCTGAACAGTCGAGCAGGTTGCCCAGAGAGCCTAAGCAGTCTCCATCTTTGGAAGTTTCCAAGACCCAACTGGAATAAAGGCTTGACAAACTTGATCTGAAGTCAAAACAGACCCTGCTTTGAGCAGGAGGTTGGAGTAGAGATCTCATAAGGTCCCTCCCTTCCAAGTTAAATTATCCTGTGATTATATCATCTTAACCTTCAAAGTGAGCTGGCTTAACCAGCTTTAAGGTTTAAAAGTAATTATTTGGTGTATTTTTATTTACTGTCAGGCAGATTTGTGGTGACAGAAAGCACAGACCCATAGTTAACAAAATGATAGCTCAGTCAGGCACAATAACACCTGTGCTCTTTATTGAGCCTACTCAAGCAGTCTCCTGCAAATAGAGAATAAAACTTTGAACATTTTCCTTCTACCAATAAATGCCTTTATCAAGAAAAAATCCAAACCAAACCAAACCACCACAAACAAAAAAGGGCAACAAGTGACTTAAAAGGTGTAACGCTACAAGAACAGTATGATCCAGTCAACATACAGATTGCCTAGGTTGTTTTGTAACATATAAAAAAAGCCACGTTAATGTCTATATATAGATTTAAAAACTATCTTCTTTACTTAATTCTACCCCATATTTAAATCTACCCTATATAAGCAAAGTATTTCACTCACCTCCCCAGAGGTCCAATTGCCACAGTAAGATTTCCTCCAAGTGTAAGATTACCTCCTTTGGCAAAAGCTTCTACTGCTCTTTCATGATTCAGTATTATCACTAAATCTGAAACCTATAAAACATCAAATAAAAGTAGCATGCTTTTTAAGAAGAAAATTAGAACATCATGGGAGAAGTATCATCAATTTTGTAGAAAACCAGGTGGAAGCCACAAATGAAGACTAGCACCAGATTTTTTAAGGCATTAATTCAAGTAAGAATCACTCATTCTCTCAGAGAATTACTTCTTTACTTGTAAAGGATTCATTTGAAACAGCTTTCATAATAAAGTTGATTCTTTTTCTGCAAGGTATTTTGAAACTAAATATCAAATTTGACTGATTTTTTCCCAAGTGTTGATATGGTCAGTATGTGATAAGCAATAGCTGCAACAGAAACCCTATTTTAATTCAAAATTTCCCAATTAACAAATGTTTATTTTCTATAGCTTTTGCAAGCAGTTATGAAGGCATTTTCAGACGTGAAGGGAGATCAGATTAAGAAAATAATTTTGATCCTTCAATAATGGAATTAGTAATAGCAAGACAGATCTGAGTAAACAAAAATTACTGTTCAATGTATAAACAGCAGAAAGGATACAGGTTATCCCATTATTGACAAGACTTTACCTTCTTGAGAAAATTAGCTGTTTAATATATATAAATGCATATATAGATATGAATTTATATTTAATTTTTTAAGACTTGAATACATTAAGATGTAGCCAGTTTCTTCAAGAAACCTAACTAAATAACTGAAAAGCTAACAAAGTATTTTTGAAAGGTTCAAATGCAAAATGGAAAAAAACCCAAAAAACAAAGACCCGCTATTTTTAGAAAACTTTATTTGCCTGGAGTGTGACTCAAAATTACACCAAAGAACTTTTACTAGTATTTAAGTTTATGCCAATTACCATCAGTACTGTAAAACTGTAACTCTCTCTGATTACAGAGCCTTGGGTAACATGGTCTAGGGTGAGGCATCCTTGCCCCATGACAGGGGGGTTGGAACTACATGATCTTAAGGTCCTTTTCCAACCTTAACTATTCTGTGATTCTACAATTCTATGATTTAATAAATTTCAATAAAAGTCTCCTAGAACTCTTCTCAAACTGGGAAGCATTTTAAAGAAAGAAAAAGTCTTTCAAACACAAGCATGATCCTGTAAAGATCAATTTCTTACCTGAGAGCTCAGTAAACATATTACATGTATTAAAAAATATAGTAAAATAAAAATACTGCAGCAGTACCAGCCTGCTCAACAGAGTAGATTACACTTTTGTAGTTTATTATGTTGGATTACCTTTTCAACAGATACCTGGATTACCCGAGAACAGCTGTACTTGATCTTTCATCTGATGGACTTGACTGAAAGTCAGGTTCAGAAAAAACATTCAACTTACCCCAAATTCCGAACAGTGACAGCAGGGAATACAAGAGGAAATACCAAATTATTTGCAAAAAAAAGGCTGGCCCGGAAGTATCACACACTGTAAGACAGGCCTTTGTTATTAGCCCCCTGCTAACTTCCACCCCATCCCAAAGAAAAAATGGCTGACATGAGAAGTTTCTGAATCATCCAATGATGGAAAAAAAATGTCATTCATGATGCTGTTACCTCCTCTTACCCATTAAGAGGATGAATCTACAGCTAAAGCTAAATAGTGAGAAAACCTTCAAGGAAAGCATCTAGATGAATTTAAAAATTGGTCTTTAATTTGAGGTACCAGTTTACTTACAATGACTTCTGAAGTCTGTGATTTCCTTTTTGCTTAAAACTATCAATAAGCACCACTACAACTATGCCAACTATAATCTCTCCTACAGGAATAAAATTCAACCTATTTCTAAAAGGTTTAAGTTTATATATGACTAAAAGAATGCTGATATTAGCTTCTGGGTTCCTAAGCCACTTAAGTATTTCTGAATAGCATTTCTTCTCTAGAAGAAATAAGTAAGATTGTGCTATTATAATGCCAGTAAGGAAACAGTATTTTGTAAGCTGGCTAAAATTTCAAATGAAGGGCACAATATTGCTCAGAAAAAACACACCGTCTCAGAAGTAGCTTCTATATCAAAATTATTTGAGTAAGTATCAATAATAAATGGTTGCATCATCTAAAAATCAGATGATTAGAAGTTTCATAAATTAATCAAAACATGTGAAAAGTCTGTTTCATTGTCATAAAAGAAAACCAAAAAAAAAACCAACCCAAAATCCAACAATCCCTCCCAGCTTCCGTAACCCCCCCAAAAAACCCGAACCCTGCGGCTCAAATTCAGTGTTTTGTAATGCATTCAGAACCTGTAGTCATGAAAACTGAAGCAAAACCCTTACAAAAATCAATCATTTTGTATTCACAGCATCCTTTAAAACGTGCACAGCAATAATGCCTGAGATCACACAGCAAACAATGACGATTCAAGAAAATATTGATTCATTGCTCATTATGCGAGTGTTGGCTGACTGGCTGTCAGGAGCTGTTTAGCTGTAAGAGACACACTGGGAGCTGGCGTGGACCATCCCTGCCAGCTATGCATGGATTCTTCTGAAGAGCCGAACACCCATAGCAAGAGATCTTGCTGGCAGCACGTTGTTACTTTGATTTTCCTTGGGAATCGGCAGAAATAAAAGAGGGCAGAACTGGAGTCTAGGACAAGGAAGACAAGACAGGAAGCAGAGGCAAAGTGCTGTCAGGGCTCAGATCAAAAGGATTTCTCTGAACCTGTTGAGGGTCCCTTACTTGACCATTTCTTCTGGCTGTAAACTGGCTTGTATTCTGCAACATTCCTAGAGAGGAGGCACCATCAGTTTTGGTGTTCCCAAAGACAGTAATCACAAGTTTGAGTGGAAAATGCATGCAGAACAGTACCATTAGCTAGGCTCCGTTTTGCTTCACCTTCAATTCCTTTCACTGTTTCTTGCCAGATGGAGTCCTTGCACTCTTTAATAAAGCACTGGATACTGTATTAAGTATAGAATAGTTTCAATTAATTCCAATTGACTTATATGTGAATACTGACAGGAAGCTTTCCATATGGGAAAAATTCAGTCTTCTAGAAGTGAGAAATCAAGTAAATAGCTGTTATGTCACTTGTTTTCATTTATATCTCTTCAAGCAAGTAGACTGATAGGATCAAAATTCCTATTTTGTTTGTCATATATATGAATTCTGTAATAGCTTTTTAACATAGAAAAATAGATTCTACTATCTAATATTTAGATCTTTGTCAATGTATTTTTACTTCTTGCAAAAAAAGTTACCAACAAGTATTTCAGATGAAAAATTATACCTCAATTCCAATTTCAAATCCACCACCAAGGCCAGCAATTCCTATTGCAGAAGGAGCAGACCAGGCTGTCATGTAAAACAAGACAAATTTACAGAATTTTTACCATGTTACAAGGAATACTAATTTTATTATTATAGTTAAAAACTACAAACAAGTTCTCTATTTAAAACTATGTTCAAAACCACTATAATGGAATCACATAACTATACTGGTTTATCCCACATGAAGGAATTTAGGAAATACAAATCCTTGTCATTTAAACAAATCTTTATTACAAATTATTTATCATACAGTTGTCCATAATTGGATCTAAACAAATCTTTATTACAAAATTTTTAAGATACAGTTGTCCATAATTGGATATAATTCATTCTTCTAATTTTAAACTATATGCTTTTATATTTCAGCCTTTTCTATAAGGATACTGAAAGCTTTTACATCTGGTCAAAAATAGGTATAATATTTTGAAAATAGCTTTCAAATCAAATATTGTCGCCTACTGGCTTGACTCCTCACACAGCTCGTGTTCTATGCTATGAAAAAAAAAATACTGAAGATTTTTTTTATTATCATTATTCTCTTTTAATTCTCCCATGAAACATAAAAGGAAAACATCCACTTACTTCCATTAGGAAGACGAGCTAATACAATTCCACTTCCACCTCGAGCAGTCACCAAAAATCCAGCTTTGATAACAGACAAAACTGCAAGGCCTTTGGCCTTAGCTATTACATGAGCTGAAACAGTGAAACAATTTATTCAAGATTTTGTAAGAGAAGTTCTAAAAGAAGAGGAAAATAAAACTTTACATTTAACAATTTTGAACACAGAAGAGTCAAATAATCAAAGCAAAAGCTTAAAGAAAACTGCAAAAAGAGCTGAACTGATAATGATGTCATATGCTGGTTTTGGCTGGGATAGAGTTAATTTTCTTTATAGTAGCTAGTATGGAGCTATATTTTGGATTTGCTCTGAAACAGTGTTGATAATACAGGGATGTTTTAGCTATTGCTGGGCAATGCTTACACACAGTCAAGGCCTTTGCTACTCCTCACCCCACCCCACCAGCAAGTAGGCTGGGGGTATACAAGGAGTTGGGAGGGGACACAGCCAGGACAGCTGACCCCAACTGACTGAAGGGATATTCCAGACCATACGGAGTCATGCTCAGCAATAAATGCTGAGGGAGGAAGAAGGAAGGGAGGGACATTTGGAGTTATGGCATTTGTCTTCCCAAGTAACTGTTACCCGTGACAGAGCCCTGCTTTCCTGGAGACAGCTGAACACCTGCTTGACAAGGGGAAATAGTGAATGAATTCCTTGTTTTGCTTTGCTTGTGTGGGCAGCTTTTGCTTTACCTGTTAAACTGTCTTCATCTCAACCCATGAGTTTTCTCACTTTTACTCTTCCAATTTCCTCCTGCATCCCACTGGGAGGGAGTGAGCGAGTGGCTGGGTGGTGCTTAGCTGCCGGCTGGGGCTGAACCCACATCTCCACTCCACAGTCACCCACAAAACTTGTCACAGGTCTTGTTAGCCTGTGTGCTGACCCCTAAACTGTCACAATTGCTTCATCTATCCTGGCTAGCTTATATAGAACTAGTTGGCATATTGCCATGAACACTGTAAGTTCCCTTAGCAAGACAGTTGACATCCACGTCTTTACAGATTTTGGAGGAGTCTGAATTTAAACCACAATGACATACAGCAGCCCAATCAGCTTATATTGTTAGATATATTGTGGCAAATAAAGTGTCATCATCCTGCAAGTCTTGTTATAGACCTTCTGGAACATAACAGTTATTAAATCAAAGCCACAACCAGCAGCACCAGATGAAGAAGGACACCAGCAGAAACACAGAGTAACAACGGCAGAAATAAAAAGAATGGCAGAAAATAAGAATACCAAAGGAGAAAGATACCCTGATCTCTCCTTCAACTTATTTTCATCTAGCTAATTCTAATAAACACAGATATTCAAGAACTAGAGCTACTCTTCCAGGTTCTCCCTTAAAAACACATTCACAGGGTAAGCATGAGAGACAGTCTGTCCATCTTAGAGGGAAGCCTTCCTGTTCAGATACCCTGTGGTTGTAAACATGCAAAAGATTTTTCTCAGTAAGTAGTGTCTGCCTAGAATACAGAAAACTGAAACTGTTCACTTTCAAAATGTTTTCACAAGAGATACAGCACCCCAGATCTTCATTCCTCTCTAAGTTATGGTCAGTGAAAACAGAAGGAATTGGTAAAAAGAGCATGATTGCAACACAGGGGAGTGCTGGAGGCTTTAGCCGAATCAGAACATTTTCTTTACTCACGAGGTATGATTTTATCAGGTCCATTTCTGGAAGTTATTTCAGTAAATTCTCGCAAAATTTTAGCTGCCTTTTTAGCTTCTGACTTCAGGTTGGAAGGTATAGGGTTATTCACTATAAAACATGAAAAAAAAAATGTATCTATGGTCAGTTCAGTGTAGCTCATATAAAAATAAAAGTGTAATTTGTATGGGAAAAGTGTTTCTTTACAAATAAAGGGTAAATCAAACAAATGGGAAACAGCAAATACAAGAAATGATCTGCACGAGACCTACGTTTTGTCTCTGGTGGTTGTAACAGGAGACATCACTTAGGAAGAACACACAAGCCCCGTTCTTTTCTGGTATCTGTTCCCCTTGTACTTCCTCAGAGTCCACACTGGTAACAGCAAGGATGTAGGAGATACATCCTCAGTTGTTCCTGTCACTATTTATGGGCTTGTTGCATATGAATTTGTCTAATAACTTTCAAACCTGCTGATACTCTTTGCCTCCAGAACTCCTGCAGCAGCAGTTCACTACCTTGTACTTGTATACTTAAATACTTGATTTAAAATAATCTACTAGTTTCAGTGAATGCCTGCTAGTTCAAATCTCATGAATTCTGGCAAACAACTACCTTATTCAACTCATCCACTATCTTCATGCTTTTACAGAAAGCTACAGCTTCCTCTGCTTCTTCAGCCCTGCTTTCATAGTCTCTCCTCATTGTAGTTGCTCCACCACTCTGACCAGTCTAACTGCTCTTCTCTGTACCACCACCAACTCTGCTGTCATTCAAACTGGCAACTGTTGACCAGTGACCACCAAAAAAAGTTAACATCTCTTCAGGGAACTTCTCTTACAGAGCTAAACTTGCAGTATGTGCAGAAAGTGAACAAAATTCTGTTTCAGACCAAGACATCGCTTTCAGAAATCTACTTGCTCTTGAAGGGCTTATCAATATTTTCTCTCCAGTGTGACCCAACATAAGCACCTCTGTAGATTTCAGTTCAGGAAAAAGCAGGGATTTGGGATAGATTGTTTGCTTTATAAAGCTGTAGACTACTTTAGCAAACACAAAAAATCTTTAAATTTACCTCCAAAATCCACGAGATTATACAGAAGAGTGTTGAATCCATTTAGACCTACCAGAGCAGCTGTCACTAATCAAGTAGTGAACAGAATCAATTATTGTAAGATATTAATACTCTGCTATAGTATAAATACCACTTTAGTTATGAACGGTCACATTTCACCTGTAGATTGCCAGAAGAGGCCTTAGTACAGATAAAAAGATACAAGTTAGTCTTGATTCTTCTATCTACTAAAACCCATCCAACCTACCACTTAAATTATTCTTGTTGCCCTGTCTGGACATATCAACACCCACAACTTTGAAGTTTATCAGCAAGAAATTGTCTCAGTAATACATTAATACATTGTCAGACCAAAGGTGCATCTAGCCTCGTGTCTTGTGCCTGAAAGCAGCTATGGACAGTATTTCCATTAAATTCTGCTGTTCTTAAACTCACAAAAGCACAGAAAAGACTATGCATAGAGAAATTTTCAGTCAAAAGTGGCCTAGTTTTTTTTAATTGGTGTTCCCTGAACATTAACTCAGCTCTCCACTCTAGGCAACACTCCCACCCAAAACCACAAAGGTGAGGACTAAATACATTTTCAGATTAAATCAATGAAGCTTGGAGAGCAGCAATTCAGCTCAGACTAAGTGAAATACCTAGTGGCAAGTCAGCCAAGTTTCTGGCCAGGTTCCATTGCCTAGAATAGGAATTACACCTCTATTTTTTAAAATTAACTACATTCCTCAGTATGTTCTCCAAGCAAGAAGGAAGATTGCCAGAACAAGAAAGGTTTTGACAGCTGAATCTCTGAACTAGCTTCCCTTGTGAAAGCTTGCAGCAACACATTTGGCTTTGGTGAAAATGCAGCAGGTATAACATTGGAGAGTGTGAAGTGACAGTAGACATCACAAGGCTGTGCAGAAATATCAGCCTCTGGGAATGGAAAGAAATAGATGCATAGCATGCCACAGACTCTAAACTGCATTGCAGTAGCAGAAGACATGCTAATTCTACCTCCTAATAATCCCTTCTGTTTCCAGGAAGTTAAGATGATAGTCTGATCTCCATGTGTGAAAGGATAGGGGAAGGCAAAGCATTAAACTCTGAAGCTTCTGAGGACCTTCAGAAAAACCTATTGGCATACGCAATTTTCTCCAACTGTTACGGCACTAGAATCATACATCAGCTTGCAGGAGTTTTGAGCATGTGTTTCCTCTTTGGTTGGAAGCCTTCACCAGGCTGGACTCTGGCTACACAGACACAGGAAGGAGAGAGGCCAGCATAGCCCAAACAAAACATGAACAATTGCTTTTGGTAGATTAACAAACTGGGCTGGAGAAAATGTCTCCATTACTTTTACTGTTTGTACTTGACAGTGGATTTTCAAGGTCAGAGGGAAAACATCACCAACATGCCATAAAAGAAAAATAAGATTTTTGCTTTTGTATGGAGATACACCAAGGCAGTCACAAAAAGCATACTACAACACCATTCTTGTCAAGAACATACAAAAGCTACACTTTTAATATATTATAACTCATAATATTTTAACACACAGTGTATGTCCTCTTGCATAGTCAGGTGCACGCTTTTGTATGTAGGTTTTCACTTAAGATATTTTAGAGGTATAGAGGTCTTGAATACACATTTCATGGTACTTAATTATTTTTACAGTTCAGTAAGATTAAAGTGGAAGATAGGCTTCATTTTTGCTATTGTAAAAAGGACAGCTACATGCCTGACGATGCATGATTCCTAGCAAAGTTATCGTGATGATGAAAATAAGACATGTGTACACCAGAGATAAAGAAAAAAAAAAAAACATGGCTAAGACAAAAAACATTGTGGAGCAAAAAAAAAAAGCACTATCCAGCTTCTAGTTTACAGAGAAACTTCTGTGCTCCTCTCACTCTTCTTCCTTATCTTCAGATTCATTCCTTCCTCCCCTTTGCTTCTCTTTGCCCAATCTTAGAATTTAGAGAAGCATCTCCAATTCATTTTTCTTACTACTAAGAAAGGAAGAAAAAGCTCATATTTCAAATGGATTAGAAGAGAAAACCCTTAGCTAAGTCTATTAAGAAAGCATGAGATGTTTTCAGGCCTAAAAGTCTGCAAGAGATGAGTAAAAAAAAAAAAAAAAATAGAAAAAAACATTTCACAGTCTTCATATGCATTTTCAGATTTAGAATTGCTTCAGAAAGAGTTGATGGTTACCAGAAAACAGTGGGTGCATGTTTCTGTACGTGCAGGACTTACTATTTAATTGAAGACCATTCAAAGTTGAACTTCATGAGCCATCAAAAGTAATATTGTTACCATCTCACTGTCCCTTCAATTCTCAATACAGAAGTGGTTTCAAAGCCAAGTTTTGACACCTTGGGCAGGAGGGAGGATGTCACAATAACGCTTCTCAGCGTTTACTTCCAAAGTTTCACAGGATACCTAGGATGACTCCATGATTTTCCTACCCGGCTTATTTTTATCCTGATGTTGCTATCTAGGAAAAATTTTTTTACTATGAGGATGGTTTTTACAAACAGGTCGCCCAGCAAGGTGGTAGATGCCCCATCCCTGGAAACATTCAAGATCAGGTTGGACGGGGCTCTGAGCAACCGGACCTAGTTGAAGATGTCCCTGCTCATTGCAGGCAAGTTGGACTAGATGACCTTTAAAGGTCCCTTCCAACCCAAACTATTCTATGATTTTTCTGCACTATGATTCCAAACATTGTACTCCCAAATGAAAATATTGCACACAGAAATAGCATTACTCAAACAAATTGAAAATTATTTATTTTCACTCCCATACCTTTTTTGTGTCACATGATGTGGGGTTCCTTTATTACCAGGAAACAGGGGAGGTAGAGAGAGATGCCTCATCTACCTGTGTACTACAACAGCATGAGAATAGCGTAACTTTCCATCCTCACAATAGCAGAAACTTCGCTTTCTCCCTGTATTATTTGTTTCCTATATCAATATTGCTTCTGCATCTCCTGGGTATCCACAGCAATTCACACTTCCATTGTCCCTTGCTTCTTCCTTTCCTGCCACAGACTGAAGCAATGCAGGATTTTTTTTCTGGACTAAGAAACAGCAGGCAGATTTGACAACAACGTTCAGCCAGTTACTTTGCATGGAGCCAGACTTGTGTACTTTTAGAAGTGATCTAAGAAATAGGTGATCTTTGTAAAGCACAGAGGTGGGGGAGAGGGAAGGAAAAAAGGAAGAGGCTGAATGCCTGCCAACTGAAGAGCTCAAAGCTACACCCTGTAGAGAAGGATTACAAGAAAGATGACTTACGCCCCAAAGTTAATTTAGACAAGAGAAGGTATGAAAATTAAAGTAACTTTAACTGGTAAGCAAGCATGGCACAGAAAGGTTTTAACAACAATTGACAACAATCAGTAAGCCAACTGATTAAACACTTTAATTGCTGAAAACCAATAGTTACTGTAAGTGGCTACCATATGATTCTTTCCATAGTGGCTCATTTTGAGTGCCCTTATTTATTTCCATAATTTTACATGGATACTAAGGAACTGACAGGATGCCTACAGGGGTCTTGAGGAACTGATGAGTTGTCTAAAATACCCTACAAACAACAAGCCAACACCCTGACCTTAATTATATACAACATTATGTTTGATAAAGCCTGGCTGGACTCCCATTTTTGCTACAAATGCTAAAGCCATAGCAAAAGAAATCTGGTATTTTTATCACTGAGGAAAAGGGAGGTTTGGCTCTCCCTCTTGGGCTATGCCAAACTCAGGATATTGTTGACAAAATTAAAACATTCATTAGGGACACAGACAACAATTAACACTTAAAAGGCAAAGTTTAATGGTTAGCTATAATGCATGGGTGAAGCCTCAATTGTATTATTAAATTTTAGATCAGTTTCATAAAACCTTGTTCAAAGAATATTATGCTTCTTAAGTAAAAAGTGGAAAAATTGCACAAATATTTCAAAGACATCAAAACTACTTATTTAATTAAAAAAAAAAAAAAAAGGAAAAAAAAAAGAGTGTGTGGTGGTTTGCACTGTGAAA